GACAAAGTCTTCTGCCACCACTCTGCAGCCCCGGACGCGAGGCTTCCGATCTGTTGTTCCGCCAAGTACAGGTAGTCCTGAAAGTCCGTTGCTCCAGACTCCGGGGTATACTCCGGAAGCTTGGCCAGCTCATTCACAGCCTTCGGCTCCAGATCCATAGTTTCGCCTCCACGTTGCTTCAGTAGGACCTGTTGGAGCTGGGACATTCCAGTGATGAGAACGTCCAAAGGGTTCGGAGCAGTCGTGCCCCCTTGCCCATCCGCAGCTGTTCCTGCCGTCCCACCACCTGTCGCTGCCTCTGCTGCCGTCTTGATGCCTCCATCCAAGCCCGGGGGGTAGCCATAGTCGTTGTCGTAGTCCCCAAAGGTAGCCCCAGGTTCCGCTGAAGCGCCCCCGTAGGGAATCTCCGTAGACCTGACTCCGTAGAGGTCTCCATCACTCAGGCCATGAAGCAGCTCACTCGCACCACGTCGTAGGTAACGACCTCGAAGACCAGCTCCCGCTGCGCTCAAGCGTCCTGCACGCCCTGGGCTTCGTGACGCATTCCTTTGCTGCAACTCTGGACTAGCACTCCGCGAAGCTCGGTCTCCACGACCAGGACGATCGCCTTCCACATAACGATTCTGAGGATCCCCTCGTAGAGTCTGTGGATCTGTTAGCACAAAGTGAGCCCGATCACCCCCTGATACTCCACGACCAAGGTACTGAGCCCGATCACGAACTGGTAGCTCAGGCTGCTCTGTTGCATGTGCCCGATCACCCCCTGATACTCCACGACCAAGGTGCTGAGCCCGATCACGAACTGGTAGAACAGGCTGCTCTGCAGTGTAAGCCCGATCACCCCCTGATACTCCAAGACCAAGGTGCGGTGCCCGATCACGAACTGGTAGCTCTGGTTGCTCTGCTGCATGTGCCCGATCACCCCCTGATACTCCACGACCAAGGTGCTGAGCCCGATCACGAACTGGTAGAACAGGCTGCTCTGCAGTATAAGCCCGATCACCCCCTGATACTCCAAGACCAAGGTGCGGTGCCCGATCACGAACTGGTAGCTCCGGCTGCTCTGCAGTGTAAGCCCGATCACCCCCTGATACTCCAAGACCAAGGTGCGGTGCCCGATCACGAACTGGTAGAACCGGTTGTTCTGCAGCATAAGCCCGATCACGAGGTGGTAGAACCGGCTGCCTTGCATCTTCACCGTCACGGCTCAAACACTCACGCAGTCTCTGATTCTCCTCCTTCAACTCCTGTAGGCCACGCTGCTGTTCTCTCAAAGCCTGCTGAACCTGCCTCCGTACTTCCTCCTCCACAACTTCCCTCGGAATAGATCCCGAAGACGCATCGTCTGTTACCGCCTGTCGTGGCGGCGGAGGTTGAGGATGCAGCAGGGGTGCATGGTGCGCCCATTCTTCCATTCTTCTCGTAGCCGACCGGCCAAACAGTGGCGGGTTGTTCTCCGAATGAGAAACTCCCACATCGTAAGCATTCCCAGAAGCAGTGGGGGTGGCCGTTCTCTGTACTTGCTGTTCGCGAAGCATAAAGCCTCCACCCGTAGTTCCAGAGCCTTGAACGATCTGTTGGCGAGTCATCGTGGTGAATGTCTCCACCGCTGTATGCGTCTTTAAGAAGTCTCCAAGCCGTTTCACCCATCCCAGCGCTGCCGGTAAGCCATCCGTTCGGGCAGCTTCCTGCCCCTGCGGTTGGGCTGGCCAGGCCTCTGAAGAAAAGGCCGAATGAGAACCTTGACGGGGAAACACACCTGGAGAATACGGCAAAGACTCTATCTCCTCTGCAGTCCTGGTAGACATTGGCGAGGTCCTCATTGCCCCATTGGGCAAGAGAGGGGGCCCCTGATTCCTCGCCCCATAATCAGGGCCTGCAGCTTCTCCTTCCAACGTCGCCGTGCCAACTCCCTGTTGCGGAACATCATGCGTAGATTGGGCAGTCATAACCTGTTGACTTTCATTGCCAGGGGGTATCGTGGGAGAGGCCATGGCTGTATAGAGACGTCTTCTTCTTAGAATGTTGACAATTGAAGAGGGCAACCCTCAAACGGGAAGCCCAACGCAGAGAATCAACCCCGCTGAAGATCAGAGGTCCGAAGGGGCAATGCGCCTGCACACTCAGCTGTAAGGCCAAGCTCCTAAGCAAACACAGAACCCAAACTCGGAAGGACCTAAGGCCGCCTAAAAACGGGCGTAAAGCCCTCGCTTCAGCAGACCTTTTGTGCATCTTGAGCCACGGTCACACGTGGTTGGCTTCTGCCGATCATGGCAACTGACTTCCCTTAGGCGGCTTCTGTGCACACGCCTATGTTGCGAAGTCTACACATCATCTTTACAGAGCACTGACATGCGTAAGCCTAAGCCAGCATCCTGTCACCAACATAATAATAGTAATAATAGTAATAATAGTAATAATAGTAATAATAGTAATAATAGTAATAATAGTAATAATAGTAATAATAGTAATAATAGTAATAATCGTAGCAATAGTAATAATAGTAATACTGATAATAGTAATAATAGTAATAATCATGAGGATTTACATTGCCTTCTGAGAAAATCCCTTGAGCTGGGGCCTGAGTGAAGGCTTCCTCTCACACCACATGGGGGATTTCCGAAAATGGGGGGGTACCTTATTGGGGGGTCCCTATAATAAGGATCCTACTATGTAGGGTACTATATTAGGGTCTCCTAATTTCGGAATCTCCCACATTGTAGCTGAACCTACCCATTTCAGTGCTAGGAAGCTTGTGACAGTATACAGTATGCGACTAGGGCTGCTTCGAAGGGCCTGCCCTTAGGTACCGTGCTCTTGGTCGCAAACAGTTGAACTTCCAAGATGCCAGCATCTGACTGTTGCACTGTACTCTGTTTCCTGGTGGCTTATTCTCCGCGAAGCGGCCGGTCAGGATGGAATCCGATTCCAAGTCCCCAATTGGCCTCGGGGTTTCTGCATTCCTTCAAGAACCAGATGGCAGAGCCATCTGCGAGCCATCGGATGGTCTGCAAGCACCGCTTTTATCCACCTCGGCCTGGCAAAAGCTTGGTGCTCGCTGGCAATGTGCTGCAAAGGCGACAACTTTCGTGAAAGTCCAGCTTACACTTACACTGCTTACACAATGCCACCCAAATTCATATGATGCACCTCTATGCCATTACCCATTCCGTTGTTAGCATCAGCTACGCCGGCTATGCGAGCTCTCACTTCTGTCTGAAGCTATGTATCGGCTCCAGCATGAGTGCCGAAACCCGGCTACAAGTCTTGCCACCGTTTTAGCCTTGCATTCTGTCTCAACGGGAAAATCCCGAACACAATGTCGGCAACCCCGCTGGATGCACCTCATCGGTAGCTTCGGCAGAAAGCAATGAAGCAGGTGTTTCCGCTTCAGCCCCCTTGCACCCAGGTGCATGGGGGTTGCTCGTAGCCATCGGATGGTCTGCAAACACCGCCTTCGTCCACCTTCTCGGCCGGGCAAAGGCTTGGTGCTTGCTGGCAATTTGCTACAAAGGCGACAGCTTCGTTCAAAGTCCAGCTTGCACAATGCTACTGGATTGCACATAATGCACCTCTGAGACTCTATTGTTTGCATCAGCTACGCCGGCAATGCGAGCTCTCACTTCTGTCTGAAGCTATGTATTCATGATGGCGCCGATACATAGCTGGAAGTCGTTGCCGCCGTCGTAGCACCTTGCCGACGTCTGACAGGCTTGCTGTCTGCCTGAGACCAGCTGCCGGAAATTAACAAAATGTCATTAACACTACTGGAGGAATTTCGTCGTAAGCTGCTGCAGAGAGCAATGAAGCAGGTGTTTCCGCTTGAGCCCCTTCGCACCCCCAGATACACGGGGTGTACACCTAAACAGCATCCCTTTCCCAAACTGGTCCCTTAAGGACTTTCATGGGTGCTGTCTTTCGCATGGGTCGGGGCACAGGCATCCGGCAAAACGCGAGCAATAAATTTACGCTGGAGTCCATGGTCGACACCTGTCCCTTGACGCCAGCTGACATTCGCACGGCACACGGTAATTACCCGTCACAAAGGAATCTGAGTATAAGTCCCCGGTTGCAGACTTCTTATAATGGTCTCCTGGGAGGGTTTACGGTTGCTACATTCCTTCACGAACCAGACAGCAGAGCATTATGTGGCCATGTGCGAGCCCTCGGATGGTCTGCAAACACCGCCTTGGTCCACCTTCTCGGCCAGGCAAAGGCTTGGTGCTCGTTGGCAATGTGCTACAAAAGCGACGACTTTTCTTGAAAGTCCACCTTACACAGTGCCACCCAAATTCATATGATGCACCTCTATGCCATTACCCTTTCCGTTGTTAGCATCAGCTACGCCGGCTATGCGAGCTCTCACTTCTGTCTGAAGCTATGTATCGGCTCCAGCATGAATGCCGAACCTAGCTACAAGTCCGTGCCACCGCTGTAGCACCTTGCTGACAGCCTTGCAGTCTGCCAAAGACCATCTGTCGGGAAATGAACAAAATCTCACTGAGGCTGCTGGAGGAACTTCGTCGGAAGCTGCTGCAGAGAGCAATGAAGCAGGTGTTTCCGCTTCAGCCCCCTCACACTCCAGGTACATGGGGTGCATACCTAAACAGCATCCGTGGCCCAAGCTGATCCCTTAAGGACTTTCCTGGGCGCTGTCTTTCAAATCGGCTGGGGCGACAGGTGTTCGGCGTTGCCGGAACACCCGTCTAAAAGCACGACAAACGAATATACGCTGGAGTCCATGGTCGGCACCCGTCCCTTGATGCCAGCTGATGTCCGCGTGGTAAACATGGCCCGTAACAAAGGAATCTGATGCTAAGTCCCCGTTTAGACTTGCTTTGATCTCCTAGGCCTTCGCACAGCCGGCAGAGCAAGATGTGGCCATGTGCTAGCCATCGGATGGTCTGCAAACACTGCAATTCGACACTTCTCGGCCGGGCAAAAGCTTGGTACTCGCTGGCAGAGCACTGTGCTACAAAGGCGACAACTTTCTTGAGAGTCTACACAGCAAGTGCCACTTCACTCACGGTTTGAAGAGCGGTGATCACATCGAACAACATATCCTGAGAGCACAGTGCTTGTGAACGCAACTGCCTCTTCTACGGTCCCACATCGACTTGACGGTCCTGGTAGCAGACTGCTCCACAGCATCGCGGCGAGTGCCTTCGATTCAATGGCACCTGGCATGTTGACGGAAGCCTCTTCACTTGCATCTCCAGCTTCTTCAAAGGAGCTTGTTGCGCTCATACAGATTCGCCACTTAAGCACTGCGAAACACCACTTCCGCACAGCTATCACTGCAAGGACCCCGGAATTCAGGAATCTCCGAAAGACCGCAAGAAGTTAATTACTATTCTTGCGGTCTTGAGGAGAATGCTGACTTCCGGATGATGTTCCAAAAGCAGCTTGGTGTAATCATGCACCGTGAAATGCCAAGTCAGCGAGCTTACACAGAGCAAACTCTCGTGGTTCGCCTCTGCCTTCAGTTCGGCTTCGGGCTTCAGCGTCACAGTGTCGTCAGCCTCCGGGTCGGCATCGGCAGAGTGCAAAATTCTGGAGCCTAAAGTTATTCGAACAGAGGAGAGCCGAAGAAATTGTGCTAGCACAGAGCGTGTGAAAGACTTCAGAGGCCAGCGTTCCCCGGCCTCTGCCTTAGATCGTCGATGCCCGACGCAGAGTTCGACAACACTGTCGATCAACGACATGGCATCCTCCCGCGGCATCTGTCTTAGCCGTGTCACAGTGTGGGTCAGCTCCTCCGGTGTGCAGGTTGCACTGCTTGAATCGCTGGCCAGGGCTTCCACACCCATGAGCCAAACCCTTTTGATCCGGCTTTTGACAACTACCGGTGGCATCTGCTTGCTCGCTGTCGCGAGGACGCAGAGAACCAGCAGGCTATCGCTAAGCAACCATGCGGCTTGCGAGAGCAAGAAGGCATCGAACTCTTCGGTGGCTGTCAACAGAGCGTGGTGCTGGTAGGAAGTGCCGAACCGCAGCAAATTCGCCCAGGCACCGCGCAGAAAGGGCAAGCGCCACTCGCCTGTGCACAAGCTAGGTTCCAGACAGGCCCCAATTCGCGGATTTTCACTGAAGGTAAACTTCCGAATCCTCCGGATGCAGCCAAGAGGCTGGGTACCTCTTGTCTCTGAGTGGATTGAAATGCGATCCTGTCTTCGCCGAAGGACCTCAACAGGGACATCACCCACGGGACGCAACAAAGCTCCATATTCAAGCACCCGAAAACAACCCCGCCCGAAGCCGAGCTCGCAACCAGCAGAGCTCAACCTTGTCATCCTCCGACTGCTGGAAGACAGGAAGCATCAGTCGGATGACGACATCCTTGACGTTACCTTGGGAGTTCTGCCCAAGCCGTTCAGGGGCTGTTCAATGAATTACTTGTATTTATGGTCCTGTGCAGCTATGCAAGACGATGGCTGCGGAAGCACAACCACACCACATCCACAACGTTACCCAGCAAGGGTCCACAGCTAAAGCCCAGACAAATCTCTCCCAAGAGCGGGAGATCCATAATGCAGAGCCCTGATTGACAACCTTCCGCCCCTCAACAAAGGAAAAAATCAGCGTGAGAATATTGCGGCCCATAGGCAAACCTCTGAATAAAAGGGTTTAGGGTTTATAATATTCATGGAGGCACGCACCATCTTCGCGAGCCCCTGCTGAGGCGATTCTTCCTGCTGGAGCGATGCATCCCGCAGGAACTGGGCCAGGAGGTGGACTATGAGGTACGCATAGGCCATGATGAGCATGACGACCAGGCTGCCTGCCACAAAATGGACGGACTCCTCCTCCAGCTTCAAGATCAGCATCGCAGCGACAGAACTGAAGAGAACAAAGCGCGCCACACCCAGCGTCACCTGCACGTGCACAAAGATGAGTCTAGGGCGTTTATCGTGTCCGCACTCGTCAAACTAATGCCACTCTTGAGCTTTCATCCGCCGTCTCGGACAGCCTCCAAAAGATCCAGCAGCTCGGCCTGCTCGTTTGCAAAGGGCTTCAGCCAAGCAGTGGCGATGACCTGCGCGGCTGAAACCACGGGGAACACCAAGAGCTTCGCCTCCATGTCTTGCAAGATGGAGGTGTAGGCCAGAACCGTCATAATCGCCACGTCGGCGCGTTTCACCACCAGATCCCACCACCAGTACTGCTCCTCGTAGCCCTGATACAAGGCTGTTGCCACGGCACACAACTCAAGTAAGCTCAAGACGTGTTGACCCTCAGACTCTCTCGGGAAGGGGCCTGCATGAAGTAGCCATACCTCCGGTAGTTCTCGGGCGAATGGCGGTCTGCTAGGAGGCCGACACGCAGGAGCAGGGCCAGGGGAACCCCGAGACACCACACTACAAGGCCGGCCAGCGCCAGGAGCGCTGTGGGATAGTGCTCGTTTGACCAACACTCCTCGGCTTCAACCGACATCCTTTCCGACCTGCGATGAGACTGCTCTGAAAAAGTGCATGCAACACCATGATACACCATGCAAAGCCCGAGGCTCCGTATCCGGACTGGGCAGCAACCGGCTGGTCATCGTCTCCTTCCCGTCCTCCCCATCCATGGGGATGGGAACGCACCAGAGAAGGCGTAGGAAGGCCGAGAGAAGCACCGGCCAAACTGAGACCAAACCAATCCAGATTACGGGCATGCTCTGACGAATCAAGGCACCTATCCCTGGTCTTGACGTGAAAAGGCCAAAATCTAAGGCATCCATGGCCACATCCACATCGTTGACGCCCACGCTGCGGCGCTTCCTCTGCTGAACAGCACTTGACATTGAGGTCTGAAGCTGGGATTTCTGACATGAGAGTTGCCATTTGATCCAAGCGGCTCCTGCATCACTGCATCAGAAACGCTGTCATCTGTGACTACGGTTGTCACGAGGCCGGCTGCCGTGACTGCCTCGGACTTTTGTTTTGCCCTCTCAAGGAAGGCCTCCGGCTGAGAGGCGCCGAGACGAATGTCTGCGAGGTTGGCGTCCAGGACACCCGAATCACAAATGTCCTCCCACGTGAAGTCGGCGTTCAAATACGGCGCGAGCGCTGAATGCAGCTTCTTCGTCGCCTCAGCCTTGACCCTGCCAGCCTCGTTCAAGGGCATTCCCAGGGAGTTGGCCACTGGTACCACCAGGTAGACGGCCAAGCTGCAGGCGAGGAGCGTCGCAGCTATTACGAGCAGTGGCAGGCAGATATAATACCCGGCCAGCATGGCGTTTTTCGCATTCTTGGGAAACAGCTCCTGCGACCAGCAGTGCATGCTGGAGGTGATGGAAAGCTGCAGCCCGGTAAGCATGAGGTAATCGAAAAAGTGATTGATGGCCTCAGTGGCCCAAGCGGGCCACGGCAAGCTGCTTGTCTCAGAGAGCACAGGGGCACTCCCTGTGGTTGGGAAGGTGAGCACCCTGAGCCGGTCCAGGTCGAACACTGCAAGGACGGAGCAGGCGGCGAGCCACTGGCTGGCGATGCGAATGAGGCTCGTATGCAGCTTGCCATTGCCCCTCGTGGCCGCCCTGGCCGCAAGCGAGGCTACCACGAGGTTCAGGAATGTCTTTGTCGATACATCGAAGAGAATGGAGGCGGCCAGCACCAGCTTCGAGCCAGCGCACTCTTGGCAGGGAGCTCGCAAACTCCGTTTGGCCCAGCCCAAAGGACACTCTCCACAAAGCAAGCCTGCCGAGCCGTCGGCGCAAAGGTTCTTGAAGCCGGCGAAGTCCACGCAGGTGTTCTCGAAGCACATCTCTCCGCCGAGGCACGCCGAGGACCCATCCTGTAGCTTTGCCTGGCATTTCACTACTGAAACCTTGCCTGTCTGAAAGAAGCCGGTCTTGGCCAACGGGAGGACGTGCTTCGAGTTGTCAACACCGCCCTTGCAGTGAAGCGTCTCGGACCATGACTCGCAGCTGATGCACCGAATCAGGTTGCCGGCGGAATCCTGCTCCACATAGAACCCTGCGTTGCAGAAGCAGCTGGCCAGCTCTGAGGCCCCCTCGTCGCTGCTCGCACTGGTGGGACATTGGAAAGGGCAGGATCCTTCGTTGCCCGGCGCCGGCTTGTAGCGGCCGCTGGGGCAGGGACTGCACCCGGAACCATTGCTGAAGCGACCCGGCTCACAGATGCAGTCGCCGACAGACTCGGCTCCGGATGTGACCGTAGTGGCGCCCGCCATGCAGGACAGAACCTGACCTGTGCCATTGCAGAAAAAGCCTTGGGGACAGGTCAAGCAGGTGCCGTTCAGCAAGCCGAGGCTTGGCCGGCACAGGCAATCCAGCTCGGATGTGGAACGCTCCGCGAGCGTGGACTTACCCTCTGGGCAGTTGTCGCACAAGCTATTTCCAGCATCAACCTTGTAGGAACCTCGCCTACAAGGCTCGCAGACACCTCGCTCGCCATTGAAGCCGAAGCCAGGACCACAAACACAGAGGGGGCCGGACTCGGGGCCAGCCGCGAAGTCTTCCATGCACGAACAGACGTTGCTACCCTGCGATGTCGTGGACCCATAGGGACAAGGTTCACACTCATCATCGAAGCCCCGGAAGTAGCCCGCATTGCATTGGCAGTCGAGGCGATCACCTGTACCGTTTCAGCACCAGCGGATCTTTAGTGTCCAGTGGCCGGGGTTTGGCTACTGTACATGCGGCTCGCAAATGTAAAGCTGAAAAGTGCTTCTCGAGTTGACGGGTGCTTGCATTTGGTGTAATTCCTAGCACTGCTCGCTCCAATTCTACAACCATCTAAACACCCGATTGAGCTTGCAGAGTCTTGCGGCAGTGAGCCTACCAGCACGTTCTGAGGCTCCGGCTGGCGGAAGGCGGTGCGGTGCTCGAAAATGGGCAGTCAAAGGCCTCTTCCCCTCCAGGGCAGTAGTGATTGGCTGGGCAGCGGCTGCAGGAGGCCGCGGCCTCTGGCAGGAACCACCCGGGCGGGCAGAGGAGGTGCAGCTGCAGGGCGGAAACTGTAAAGTCGTTGGGTGCACAGGGCACTTGTCGAGGGCACCAGCAGAGGTGAAGCAGCTCGGGCGCTGGAGCAGCCGGGTCGGCCTCTAGCAACAACTCTGCCACGAAAACGGAGTTCTCTTGCCTGGCCTGAACGGCATGCCGGAAGTCCTCTGGATCCAGTCGGCCACAGCGCTTGCGCAGCTCCAGTTGATCGTCTGCAGACAGCCCGACACCACGCCAGGCGAGGCGGCAGGTCAGCCCGAGGAAGCAGCTTGCTTGCTGTTCGTGGAAGGGGCCCTCGGCGATGAAGACACCGGCACCTGAGGATGGCCCTTCCGGACTGGTTGCCTGGCGGCATATACGGTAGCTGCCGGGATCCATGGAAAGCAAGGAGCTCCGCTCGACGAACAAAGCTGGGGCCCCATCAGGCTGCTCCAACAGCTCCAGAGTGGTTGCATCGGTGCTCGAGGCACCCGCAGGCCGACAATGGCGCTGCAACGTGAAAGCCGAGGCGTTCAGCAAGGAGCTGTCGTTCAGGGACTGCACACATTGCTGACCCAATACACATCGGATGATAAGCGGCTCCTCCAGCATCGGTGCAAACGAATACCGCCAGAGATCGGCATGGTAACCATCGCCGTTGGCCCCACCAAAACTCAACATCGCTCGGGAGCTCCCATCCCACGCTACAGCTGGTTCCGTGCGAGCTCCAGGTTGTGCGGGGCTTTGGCCGTGCTCCATCCAGGAGTCTGAAAGGAAACTGTATCGGCGAACCCTGTCTTCGTAACCCAGCTGCCCGGAGCTGGACGACCTCTGCTCGCCGCCGTAGATGACTAGGCCCATAGCCGCCACATCCCAAACTGCTGCATGTCCCGCCCGTGGCCCAGGGCTCTCTGCCGGTAGCAGCTCTTCCCAGCTGTCGGACCACCAGCTGTAGGCGTGCAAGTCCGCCAAGTAGCCGGTGCCGGACCAGCCGCCGTGCACGAGAAGCACAGAGGTCAGGGCATCCCAAGTTGCAGAGTGCTGGCTGCGCGGAGCCGGGCGCATGGGGGCCAAAGAAGTCCACCAGAGCTGCTGCTTCAAGTCGAAGATGTGAAGGTCGTCGAGCTCGCTCGTGCTGTCGCGGCCACCAAATGCCAACAGACGCCGACCGCCGTCCATGGCAGCAGAGTGATAGGCACGCGGTGTCGGTGCAACGGCACCCGAAGCATTGATCAGATGCCATGACATGCTCTCTAGCAAGAGGTCCCACATCTCGCCGAAGTAGACGCCGGATTGCGTGCCTGCATAGACCAAAATTGAATGGCTGGCCGGGTCGAAGTTCGCGGAATGTCCTGCTCTTGTGGTCGGGGCTGGGCCGCTCGCATGGATCGCAGTCCAGGCCCGTCTCGGCCAGTCGTAGGCCCAGATGCTGGCCAAGTCAAAAAATTGGAAGCGGCCGCTGGCGTGGCCACCGAGCAGCAGCGCCTGCTTGGACTGTGGGTCCCACGTCAGTGTGTGGCCCTGCCTGGCCTCCGGCCCCGTCCCAGAAAAGTCACTCCAGCCTTCGACATCACAGAGGACACCTGCAGCAACTTCAGACATGGCGAAAGCAGAAAACAAGTTCAAGCCAGGAAGCTCCAAAACCAGTCATTACTGCTACCAGCCACTGCAACAGGCACGCATGTGCGATGGGATAGGTATGCCCCGACATACACCCCGCACTGCATGGGGCCCCTCACGCTTCTCACGCCCTGTCGATGATGCACTGACACACCCCGAACTGGCACGCCATGCCATGCCCCCGACACCGCTCTCGCCCCCTGCCCTGCAGTAGGATGCAGGTGGCGTTCAACCGCATCCCGCCTGCTGCTTCTCGAAGAGAGCAGCTGTGGACATTCCAGCCACGGAAGGCGCAGTCTGCCAAGCTGATCTCAGTGCCGCTGCAGCGGACTCGGTCCATAAGCATCTCGACCTCAGCCTCAGCCTCACCCTCAACGCTGGGCCCACGCAAGAATAGCGGCAGGCCACCCGACAAGCCCAATTGCTTGCAGGCCACACGGGCAGCTGCTTCGTCCCAGTCATCGTCGCAGATGAAGCCCCAGGTGCCGCGGTAGCACACCTCCAGGCGATGCTGGCCGTCACTGGACACCCGAAGCCCCTCGAGCTCCGTCGCGGGTCGAGGTGTTGGCAGCTGTGCGGGCACGAGAGAAGCGCCCATGTCGCCGGTTGATGTTCCCACCGTGCGCTGGCTGCCGGTGCCGAGAGCACCTGCTTCACCATCGCCCCAACAACGGATGCTGTCGTCGGAAAGGAGCACACAGGTGTGAGCACCTCCAGCTGCCACCAGCCGCACCCTCTCTCCCAGAAACACACGTTGTCCACGAAGCCAGATGGTATCAGTGCCTAGTCCTAACCGGCCACCCCAACCGAATCCCCAACAGACCAGGGACTCGTCTTGCAGCCGTGCGCAAATGTGCCTTCCGTGAGCAGAAATATCTGTGGCGAAGTAATAATAATACTCGTTACTCAGTTGGACTTGAGTCAGACTCTCGTATCCTGATGACCCGCCGCCAAAGGTGCCCCAGCACATCACGCTGCCGGCTTCCATCAATGCACAGCCGAAATCATCGCCAATCGCCAGCTTGATGGCTCTTGCACCGAGGTAGTCTGTGGAAATCGGCTCGCCCAGTATCCCAAATGCAACGGACCAGCATTGTACGGCTCCTGTTCTGGAAAGCGCACAAGTTTGGGACCCGCTGTGGCTGCTGCTGGCTATGTGGATTGCCTCGAAGTCCGTGCCAAGATCTATCGACCTGGGCGATCTGGGGAGAGCATCGGAATTCCAGCTACTCCAGCACTGAACGGATCCGCCCTGAAGCAGTGCGCAGTTGTGGGTTCCGGTCACGATCTGCACGGCGTATGCATCTGAACCCAGATTGACCAGAACCGGATCCATCAAACCTGGATGTCCGCCACTCCAACACATGACACCTCCTCCTGCAAGGAGGGCACACGTGTTGCTTTTGCTGCTGCCATCGACATAGACGCCAGAACACGATACCTGCAACACCTCGGTGCCATTCACATTCGCATCAAGGGTTGGCAGATTATCGCCCATCTCCCCAGGCTCGTCGCCTATATAGCCGCCCCAGCAATAAATATGGCCAGTGCCCGTGAATGCACAACTGCAATCAGAGCCCGCCGCGAGGGAGTGCAAGAACGGCAATCGCTTTCCGGGCAGCGCGACTGCCCGGATCAGGTCCAATGCTACTCTATCTGCCCCGGTTGTGAAGCGAAGACCATCTGCACCTGGAGGCAGGAGAACTTCGGTCTCCTGCCATTTTCTCGCATCACTGAGAAGCACGCTGGTCGCTTCCCAGGCAGGATACCAGCGCGAGCCCGAGCCGGAGCCGCGCCGGAAATCGAGCCGTAGACCCTCGGCACTGGTCGTCAAAGACATCCACGCAAACTTAAAGGAAGTCGATGTGGGTGTCGCAACGAACAATGGGCTCTCAAACCTCGACCACGTAAACAGTTGAACGAACATCTGACCGGAATATGCCACGCCGCTCTCGACGCGACCTTGTGACCTTGGCTGTCTTTCGACTGTCGCCTCCAGCTTTTGGTTCCGGCCAAACGCTTGTGGCATTCATTCGAAACAATGCTTCGATCGATGAGTGAGGTTGGGGGTCACAGCAAGCGAGAGAAAAGGCAATGTTTCAGTTTAGAAAAATCAGACCATCCAAGTCGTGTCAAGCTTGAATGGAAAAACGACCTACACATTGTGCTAATCGTTCATACCAGAGCTTCAATCTCGAGTGGTTTCAACAGCACTAGCAGGCACCGGCATTTTCACTGCTGCGATCTCAGTGAGCATTTGCGGCTCATTCCGAAGACTTCACTGCAGTCTGCAGTAGTGGGATTCTCGTTGTCCCTAAAATTAGAACTTCTAACAGTGCCTCCGGCGCAGTGAGGAGGAGATGTTCCTCGTGGTTCGCGGCAACTTCTCCCAGAGTACAGTGGGATGTTTACTGGTGGATGGCGGATGACGAATGGTGGGATTCAGGAAGTGTCATGTTCGTCAGAGCAATATCCAAGCATGTGATGGAATTTTGCTCACAGGTGCGTGCTGGATATCCACAACATGCAGCTTCCAAAAAGGCTTGCTGGCATTATGGATCTCTGCTGAATAAAGAGTTGACACTGGCGGAGATCACCCAAAATGGTGCGAAACGTGATGAATGTTCGCGAAGATTAGGAACAAAAGGATTTAATTAAGCCCTGTCCCTGCAAGACGCATCCGGCAGGTAAGCACGACGATCCCGCGGGTGCTTTCCAGTCCCGTGCTGGTGACATTTTCGGAGTTTGACGCATTCTCGAAGTTGACGTCAAATTCCTGCCGGGGCCACACTATTGACATTTCATGTCTGAGGGGCAAGCCGCCAAGCCGCGCTGTTAGGAACTTGGTGAAGCTCGAAATCCTGCTCCCGCCAGATTCTCTTGTTTTTCAGGGTTGCGCATCGTCTTCCGTGACTGTCCGTGTGGCCTGCTTGGTGCACCGCATATATAGATCAATAGCCGAAGTCGAGTTCCACGTCTTGCTTGTCACTGCTACAGTTTCCATTCGTACGCAGCTGGATTCCCAAGAAGACTATTTCAATAATCTGAGGTATATGAAACCAATGACCGATGGCATTGTCCTCCTTTGGATATGGTTTTCCCAGTATTGGAGACTCAACCGTGAGCCATGAAGACTGAAGGAACTCCCACTGATTAGTGGGTGTGTGTGTGTGTGTGTTTCCATGTGTTTCCTTAAAACTGCGCCACAACCATCAGGCCGAACAAGCGTGAAAGGTCCGGCGACAGTTCAACGTGTCTGTAGCGGAAGCGTTGCTTCACGATCACCCAACTTGTCACAGAACTCTCAACAAAACTGAGGCCTCTGCCACCCGCACCCGTCGCTTTCAAAGTCACAGGTTACATCTTCCATGCTCCCCAATGCAGTGATGGAATCCAAACAGACCGTGTCACCCGCTGCGGCAAGCAGTCCGACAAACCGTACTGCAATGGTTTTGGCTGGAATGCTCACGCTGGCCACTTCCCAAGAAGCATCGCCATGCACACCCGCACCTCTGCTTTTCCACAGAAGGACCCAGCTTTGGTTTTCCGCTTGGTACTCCAGCTTCAGTCTGGAATCCTCGCCGGTCACCCGATAGGCAAACGAGAGGCCCGCTGTTCGCTCGATGGATGTTAAACGGGGAGTCGCCAAGACGTGTGAACTGTTAATAGAAACCGCTGTAGCTTGGAGATACCACCAACCCTCATGGCCCCAAGCGTCGATTCGGGACCACATGTTCGCTGCTGACCAATGGCAGAGATCGACCGCGTCGAAACCGCATGAAAACTCCGACAGCGTGGGGTCCAAGCAAAATTTCCAGCCAGAGCTCGTCAGGACTTCGTCCTTAGCTGTGCTTCCGCACACAGGTTTGACGACCTGCAACGCTGTAACATCACAGAACTGAAGACAAAAGAGCTGCCCAGTGGCGGAGTTCCATGTGACAAAACCTTGTGGCACGACTCCATCTGGACCATCGGGGCCGGAGTAGCTAATGTTGTTGACAACGAGAACATCTTGACCTACTTTGGCGTCGAAAGCGAGCACCCGGAGGGCTCTGCGATTGCCCGATCCGACAAGAAGTGCAATTCCGGCATTCGACGCAACCATCAATCTCGAAACCGCAAGACCTCAGAACGAGCTCTAAGAAGCAAAACCGTCCGTTCGGTGCCCAGCGCTGTCACTGCAAAGCGTGCGTGTACGCGTGCGTGTAAGCGTGCGTGTACGTGTGCGTGTAAGCGTGCGTGTAAGCATGCCGGTAAGCTTACGTGTTAGCGTGCGGGTAAGCATGCGTGTATAAGCGTGCATGTAAGCGTGCGTGTAAGCGTGCGTGCAAGCGTGCGAGCGAGCGTGCGAGCGTGCGAGCGTGCGTGCGTGCTTCCTGTGTGTACGGTTTTGGTACTGTAAGTTGTTGGAGTGCTATCGAAGTTAACTTGTCTAGAAGCCGTTGGCAGCGGACACAGTTGCCAAGAAGCCGGGGCTCTGGGAGCGTAACTGGGACTAGAGCCAAATAAGACGAACAATTAGTGTTTTTTGCTATGGCCGTGCGCGCGTGTCTGCGTGCTTTGGCACCAGCCCAAAAAAGTGTTCCCGCATGAGCTTAGCGATTTGGCTATACTTAAAGTGGGGTCCGAGGGCGGTGTGGTCCTCTGCAAATTCCTTAGGCACATGACTTCAATCCAATATGGAAATTGCATACCACGACGTCGTCCCTGACTAAGGATTCTATCCGTAAAATCGGAGCCGAAGACCACAGAGTGGGTGATTTCTGTACGGGGCTGTGTGAACACTTCTCTCATCATGCTGAGTTGGAGCTTATGCAGGGTTTCGCTCGGGAGTCGGGGTTGATTGGCCTTGTTCCAAACCTCCTGGTTGGTAATTCGGGAATAGTAGGACGCTTTAATGCCTACGATCCTACGCAAAAACCTGTAGTAGAAACCGTCTATTCTTTTGAGGAGCGGTGTGGTCAGTGTGATTGCGTCGAGGCCGCAGGTTAAGATTGGTACAAAAGAGCTTTGGAAGATCGGAAGCTTAATTTTTCGGCTGAGGGAACTGTTCCAGACCAGTCTTAGCTTTTTGTAGGCTTCCTCTGGACCACATCTCTGCTTAAAGGCTTCTTCGAAGGGGCGCTTCCAGGTTATGATAGAACCTAGATGTTTTACTTGCGGGGGGACGGGAACGGCGGTTGGGTCTGAGAAATAGAGTTTTGGTTCAGGCCTTTCAGGGTGTAGTTGAAACTCCGTCTTAACGGTATTAAAGTGCATTCCATATTCCGACGTGTGCTTTTCCAGGGCGGTCAGAATTGCTTGGAGCTGCGGTATGGTCCTTGCTAGTAACAGGGTATCATCAGC